CATTCCCTGTTAACAATGAGATCACATCTGCCCAGTAAAAATAAAAGGCAATTATCCAGATAGTTCAGCCAAATGCTCTCCCATTCTGATTTCCATTAACTTAGATTCTTGAAGCAGATAAAATATTACTCAAATGACAACATACTGGCACTTACAAGGTAATAATTCTGATTTTTTTTAGGGTCACTTGAGATAGATATCCTGGTGCTCCTCAATGATGAACACACACACACACAAACATACACACACACACACACAGACATACACACTAACAGGTACATGTCTTTCTCACTTAACCTCCCGCTGCAGAAGTTAAAATAACGGAGACAAATTGTCATAAAATCATACACACATTGGTTATCTTGTTTCTGCTTGAAAAATTACTCCTGGAATTCTAATTTGCAGTGCCTGCCAAATCCCATAATGCCTCATATAATACCATTTTTAAAAATGGAATTATCACTCTTCTCCAAAACAATTTTGATTATACTCTATAAATATTCTCACTCATTCTTACTTTTGATTATGATTATTAGTCTGCAATGATAATTGTATTAGCTTTCAGCTAAATTTCATATTCTATTGTATATATACAAAATATACATTAATAATTTAAAAGCAGACTATTAAAATCAAATCAATGGCACAGATGAGAAGAAAATTTTCCTATCTATTAATTGCCTCCATCCTTCACAAGAGTTCGGCTGAAATGTTCTTCTAAGCAACTTTAATTTGATCAACTGTAAATAAACCTTTAAGTAGTGATTTAAAAACAATTAAGATAATGAAAATGGTTTGTAATCAATAGATGTCAAATTAAAAGTGGCAATTTAAGATTAATATTTACAACTACCTACAAACCTTAATATGCTTAAACCAGACTATTTTTGCCTCTTAGAATATATTTATTTCAAGCTTCCTCAGGTTATTATTTGAACACCAATACAAGTAGTTCATATTCTTTTAAGTTCCCTTGGCCGTGTGGGTGATAGCACAGTATCACTCATACCTTCTGTGATCCCTCCATTCACATGAGATTAATTGCTGAAGACTCTTCCTACTCTAGGACGTATAACTTTGCATAAATTTTAAAGTAATTTAAAATATCCTCAAAAGGCGAAGTGAAAGGCTGTCATCATTACTAAAACTGGCATTTCCTTCTAGTCTCAGCTGCAGAGCCAGTCAAAGCATTGAGTTCACCAGGTTCATCTGGGTAATTTCTTACAGAAGCATCTAGTTGTGCCCCTACATAGCTCATCTTGTTCTCTTTCCTGACTGTCTGTAGTTGACTTTGGAATATTACTTCAGTGTAGATTGTAGTTTAACTACAATAAGTAAGGGCTGGAGCAATAGTGCAGCGGGTAGGGTGTTGGCCTTGCAAGCAGCCAACCCAGCCAATCCGGGTTCGATCCTCTGCCCCTCTTGGAGAGCGCGGCAAGCTACCGAGAGTATTTCACCTGCACTACAAAGCCTGGCAAGCTACCTGTGATGTATTTGATATGCCAAACACAGTAACAACAAGTCTCACAATAGAGACATTACTGGGCCCGCTCGAGTTAATAGGACAATGGGAGGACAGTGCTACAGTAGATTGTAGAGTGATATGCAAACCCAGATTTATAATTTTTTTGTGTTTTGGGGGCCACACCAGGGGATTATATGCAGTGCAAAATATCAAATAGGGGTTGGCCATATTCAAGTCCATCTTACCTTTTCTACTCTCCAACCCAGATTTACAACTTAGGCAAGATCTGCAAAAGGCAGCTTTCTTGAATCTCTTCTTTTTATTTTTATGGACTTAAAATTTTGCCTTGTTAACAAGTTCAGGAGTCTTATTACTTAGATGGTAATTAGTGTGATGCAAATTTTTAAAGAACTTGTTTGGAATAGATGTCATCTGGTGAACTTTAAGTCTCTAACAGTGCTCTTCAATGGATACTTGTAAAATGTTCAAACACAAGACTTCAAAAACTATTCTCTGTGATTGAAATCAAGCCACTGCTTCCCAGTGAAGTGGATTTACATTATCTTTCAATTTAAGCTCCAAGCACTGAAAAATAAGAAATCACTAGCATACATATTGTATTTACCAGTAGGCTATAATATAAATTCCTTTTGTGTCATTTTCAGATATTCTATTTTTTCATACCGTAACCCATGAGTCTTTTTTCCATAAACTAATTTAAGCAATGGACACTGGTAAGCACTTAACATCTGTTTTTTGCAGTGTAAAGGCAGTGTTTGCTTATTATTATGGTATTATAGGTATTACTTCCACCTACCAAAATGACATCAAAGGAAAGGATGCTGGGAACAGAGGTGCATAATTGGTTCTGGGGAGTTGGCTCTGGCTGGTACTTTGTGCCATTAAATTTTAGTGACAAAAATAGGGATTCCTTTCAATGCTCTTGGATACTCCCTTGGCTAGCTTTATTGAATTTCATCAAATGTTTCAGTTTTGCTTTCTCTTAGGTGTTATATCAGGTAACCGTATATAGCCTTAGATTTCAGAAGAAAGATGAAACTAGAGCAAATCGTAGGCCCATTACTATTAAAATTAGTCCGGTAATTCATAAAAAATTAGTTTATATTAGGAACGTTCCTTCAATTATTCCAAGGTTTTAAACAAAAATACCACCAAGTTCATTTCAATGTTACATTGATATAATCTTCATACATAAAATAGCGATGGGGGAGATGCAAAATTTTAAATATTCATATCTGAGCATTTCTTTCCACCAATCTATTAATGAGAAGCTTTTTAAAAAAATGTTTAGGAAGAAAATATACAAACTATAAAAGGGAAGCAAAGTCACTGATGATATCCCTTTCCTGAACACATTCATCTGAAGCTCCCTCCAGTTATATGTGATGCAATCAGTACAATCAGTTTTGACATCACAATCCAAATTATTAAACTCTTATCTTCTAGCACACAATAAGACGACTATTAATAAAACTCCTCAGTACCCTGAAGACTTAACGACTGATTAATTCCTATACCACATTCTAATTTTATTGATTTGGGCATATTTATCCTGATTTTTTTTAATTAGAAAAACTTACAGAGGTGACTATAAGTCACAGAAATCTCACTGTTATAAAATGGTTTCTCACATATATGCATAATAATATGGCAAAGAAGAATCTCTATATAATCAGGAAAAGTAGGTCTCCAAATTTTATTCAAATAAAGGGACAGTGTGTAAAGAACCAAATTGTTTATTTGGCAGATGCTGAAGGCCACGTGGCTGTTTTATTTCTAAAGGTGGTCTGGCAAGTTCATAAAATCCTATATAGCTTCTTTCCAACGAATCAAAACATTAGTATAATGGGTTCAGCATTTTTTTCTTAGAAGGAAGCACTTTTAGAAGCTCCTTTCTGCGGGTTTATTAGAAACTCAACAATTCTTTGTTGAAAGCAGAAAAAGAAATAACAAGTCACTTCTTACTTGAATATACAAAGGCTATTTAGTATTAGACCAGTGGGAAAAAATACTAGGTAGACATATTTTAGCCATAATTACTATTTTTTTCTAAGCAGCCCATCTCAAACATGTGCTCACTTTAAACGGCCTTCCTCACTCTGACATATCTGACCAGTATAAAAATCATAGTTGCTTTTTCTCCTCCCACTGTCTTCCCAGCGTTGGGAAACGGAATCCGCATCAGAATTTAAAGATGAGGGTTGAAACCGGTAACAACAGTACATTAAGATATATTATACATATATATAAAACAAATATAGGTATATATATGTATGTATATATATATAAATAAAACAGCTCTTTACTGATTATGTTTACAGCCAAGAGATTTGTGTGGAAAAGAAATTCTCAGAAGTTTCTGGCACGTATAGAACTTGAAACCGGAAAAAAAAAAATAAATCTTGCATCAAAGGAAATGTCGATTCTTGAAAACTTTCTTTCTGGAATACCAATATTTTTATTCCACTCTTTGATATATTTTGATGGCTCAGACGAATATCCGGGGACCATACCGCCGCACACCCCTCTGAGATGTTAACTGCTTGGAGCTCAACGGCTCCCCGACTTCTTCTCTGCATTTCCATGTTTCGGTTCCTCTCTAACCCAGACTGGAGTATTTTTTTCTGATGAGTTTGATATTATGAGGCAAGAAGATGGACCTGAATTTCCTGGCGACCAGGGCTCCAAAATCAATATACCACCATGTGTCGAATAAAAAAAGAAAAGGCATTCTCCTGTACAAATCAGAGGAGAGAATTTAAAAACAAAAAATCCATGAATAGACAGCAACTTTTCCCCATACCTACACAAACATCTCAGGACCGACTTTGCAAACTGCTTTTCGTATTTGGAATCCCTTCCTAATTTATTTGCTGAACACTGGTCTATAGTTGTTGCTTTATACCAGATTTTATTGACTTTTTTTTAGGGGGCGTGGATGGGGGTCGAGTAAGTAAGACTTTTCTAAGAACTGATTTAGAGCTAAGTGAAATATTTCTGCTAACCATCAGCAAGAAGATCTTGCTAGATTCTAGAATCTTAGCAAGCTAGAAACGTCACCGTCAATTCCCTTTGCTCCCCGCCCCGCCTTAGTTTGGATCTGCAGGAAGTGCCAGGCCCGTTAGCTGAGCCCCGGGGCACTGCTTCTCCCTGGGCAGTGCTCCCCTCCTGCAGCTCGGGTGCCTGGGCAGGTATCTGCGAGTTGCTCTCTATTCCCCAGCCACCGAGCATCTGGATGCCTGCAAAAAAAAAAAAAAAGAAAGAAAGAAAAAAGCATCTGCCACTGTCCAGAGTCCCTCTGTGGTCAGCCAGCGCCGTCCGTCCGGTCCGTCGGTGAGCAACTGCACCCAGGAGGAAGAGGGGGAGGAGGAAGAGGCGCATCCCTGGAGGGTGCAGATATTTACAAGCCGGTCCCGGGGCGCGCGCCCGGGGGATGCCCGTGCGCCCTGCCCGCGCGTCTCCACCGCGTGCGTGCGTGCGTGGCCGGTCCATCGGGGATGGGTGGGGTGTCCAGGGCTAGGAGTAGAGGCTCTCGGGGCCGGGCCCGTACAGGTCCGCCAGCCGCTTGAAGCGCGGCCCCCAGTCGCTCAGGTAGTCGTAGTTCTGGTCCGAGTTGGAACTGCCCGAGTCCAGCGAGCTCAGCGAGCCGGCCACCGAGCCGTCGCCCTCGAAGGCGTAGGTCTGCAGCGAGTCGTAGGGCGGCGCGCCCGGGTCCACGTCGGCCTCCTTGAGCCGCTCCCAGATGAACTCCCGGAAGATGACGTTGTCCGGGAGGCTCTTGAAGGCCGGCCGGCTCAGGAACTGCATCTCGGGCGTGACGTCCCGGCGCGTCTTGGTGTCCCGCAGGACGTGCAGGTTCCTGAGCGCGGCCATGTCGAAGGCCTCCGTGTCCTCCTCGCCGCCGCCCTCGTCGTCGTAGCGCACGATGTTCTCGCGGATGTCGCGCTCCTCGTCCAGGATCAGCGGCTCTTTTTTCCGCCGCCGCATGGTGACGATCAGGAGGATGAGCACTGCGGGGAGAGCAGAGGGGGACGTGTCAGCAGCACCAGGCGGCCGGGTCCCCCACCCCAGCCCAACACCACCACCACCACCACCCCGATCCCCGCACGGGCCGGAAGGAGGAGGCTCGTCCACTCGGATTCGGGATTCCCAGGAGAAGACTTGGAGGGGAGAGAACATTCCCCTGCACCCACTGCCCTGGCCCCCTACCCAGCACCGCAAGCGTTTGTGCCCAAGCCTGGCCTTCTATGTGGTCTGGGTATGTGATTCCTGAGCATCGTTGGGTATGCCCCCCCAAAAAACGCACACACACACAACCCCACTTGATCCCTGAGCAAAGTTGGGTATACCTCCCAATAAAACAAATTATAAAGAACACTTGATATTTGAGCACCGTTAGGTGTGCTCCCCAATTTTTTTAAAAACCCACTTGATCCCTGAGCACAGCTGGGTCTGATCCCCACCCCCCCAAAAAAAACAAATTAAAGTCCACTTGATCCTTGAGCACAGGTGGGCATGCCCCCTCCCAACCCAAATAAACAAACAGACAAAAAAATGCACTTGATCCCTGAGCACAGTTGGGTCAAATAATAAAAAAAAAAAGTAAAGTCCACTTAATCCTTGAGCACAGGTGAGTATGACCCCCCAAGAACACCCACAAAAAATACCACTTGATCCCTGAGCAAAGTTGGGTATACCCCCCAATAAAACAAATTATAAAGAACACTTAATATTTGAGCACCATTAGGTGTGCTTCCCATTTTTTTTTTAAAAACCCACTTGATCCCTGAGCACAGTTGCATCTGACAAAAAAAAAAAAATTAAAGTCCACTTAATCCTTGAGCACAGGTGGGTATGACCGCCCCCAAAAAACCAAATTAACAAAAACCCCCACTTGATCCCTGAGCACAGTTGGATATGCCCCCCAAGAAACAAAACAACAAAAAAACTTGACAACACTCAGAATGCTCATTCTGAGTGCAGAATTGGCTGGATTTTGTTGAAGTCCCCGTGATTTATAAGTTATTCATAGTTAAAGTATTAGACAAACTATATTCCAGCCACATTCCCACCACCAGTGTCAACCGCCCCCCACCAGGGCCCCCAAGGTCCCTCCCAGACTCCCAGCCCAAGCTGCCAGCTTGACACACTGTTGAGTTTGGTAGTTGAGGTTGGCTCTCCCGTTTACAGTGCAGTTAACTGTGGTTTGGGTATTTAGCCCTGCCACCCTACCATCCACCGTGTACCCAATCCCCATGACTCTTTCGTGCCTTTCCTTCTATGTCCTTCTCCTCCCTATACTCCGGGAACAAGAGCAATCTGGGCATCCCCAATATACGCGGCATATGTAGTGAATGGTGGTGGGAATGTCGCATTGATTCTTCCTGTGGCAAGAGCTCCCTAGCCAGAGAAGTGGCAGTTCAGGAAAATGCTATCCACCCGGGTCGTCAAACAACAAGTGAGGTTTTTGCAAACGCAAATTACCATTCATAAAGTGTTGGGGCTAATGGGACGTGTGATTCAGAGGGTAGTAGACTGCAGCCACCGGCCAGGTTTGGCAGAAATGCCTTGTACTAGTCTATGAAACTTGGACCTTATATAAAATCTAGCATGTTGGCCCAAGCACAGACACGAACAGCCTCCCTACAGTCAGTCGAGTCCCATTTTTCAGTATGAAATACCAGACTCGGATTTTGTGCATTTGATCTAGAGAAGACAAATTATAAGATGTCAATATTCTCCAGTGGCACAATGGGACAGTAAGTCATCTCTTCCAAAGGAAGATTTCCCTTCCAATGCCAAAATTAATACATAATTATATACATCGTTATTACTCATTAGCACATGGTGACCATAAGAAAGTTCATGGCCCCATGGACTAATCAAAAACTAATCAATTTAAGGGCTGGAGAGATAGCACAGCAAGTAGGGAATTTGCCTTGCACGCGGCCAACTCGGGTTTGATTCTCAGCATCCCATATGGTCCCCTGAGCACCGCTAGGAGTAACTCCTGAGTGCAGAGCCAGGAGTAACCCCTGTGCATCGCCAGGTGTGGCCCAAAAAGCAAAAAAAAAAATCAATTTATATATTTAGAACACTTTTTTTCCATCAATCTTTTTTTTAAATCTTCTGGAAGGTTAAAAGGACCCAAACATAGTGAGTGGAATATGGTTTAGATCCAATTACCCTGCACATTTTGTAAAAAAAAAAAATGAAAAGTTTGAAAATTTCAAATAACTTTGGTGAGGGACACATCTGGGGCACTCAAGAAACCCTCTCAGCATTGGGTATTGAACTGAACAAGCTTCATGCCAGGCAAATGTCTCACTAATTACATGGTCTCCTTAGTCCCTTAAACAGTTTTTAAGGTTCGAATATCCCAGGTCGCATAGTTAGATTACAATAAACATATCAAATACCTCTATTTTCACATATTCATTGTAATTCATTGCGCATTTTGGGGGAAGGGGGTGGGAGTGAGTTGAGCCATCCCAGGATTTGTTCAGGGATCGCGGGATGGCTCTTGGTGGTAGCTGAGAGACTATACCTGGTGCCAAGGATTGAAGATCTTAAGGCGTTTGTTTTACCGTCCAATTGCCTGTAGCTATGAAAATTGTGAAGTTTTTTAGCAGGTGGAACAATTTAACATTTCAGTCAACTAGAAGAATAATCATTTCTGACTATTTGAACACATTAAAAAAGAAAACTTAACCTTTCTGTACTACAAGCATTAATTGCTCTTCAGGGACAATGGAGATAATTTCTGTATTAAAAGGAATATTTTCTGCCTAAGTAAGCAAAAGATTATATATTTTAAGAGTTTTTGTCATGCTTTTTTTTCCTGTCACATTGAATATACTTCTTGTAGATACAGAAAATTTAGGTCAGGTTGAAGTGCAGACATGTAGCTAATTACGATGATTGTTCATGATATATATCTTTAATAAATCTACAAAGCATTTATTACAGTGAGGTGAGGGGATACTGGCTTAATGCGAAGGGAAGTTGACACTTGGGGGAAGGGTGTAGTGCTAGAATATTTCACGTATGAAATCCTACTAATAGCAGTTTGTAAACCATAGTGCCTAAAATAAAATAAAATTACAAAGAAACGTGTTTTACCATTTATATGCATCAGTGTGGTGACATAATATTGCACATAGTAAATTTCCTTATGGAACGTAGAATTTAGTGGAAGTCAATAGCACTCTAATAATAGCACTGTAGCACTGTCCTCCCATTGTTCATTGATTTGCTTGGGCGGGCGCAGTAATGCCTCCATTGTGAGACTTGTTACTGTGTTTGGCATATCGAATATGCCACAGGTAGCTTGCCAGGCTTTGCTGTGTGGGCGAGATACTCTTGGTAGATGACTAAATTTAAGAATACAGCTGTGATTATTCCAAAAAGGGAAGATATGATCATCTAGAGAAATATATTAGGAAATATAAGGATATGTTTTTCTCATCAACAGGATGAGAATGCTATTCGGGTCTCCCAAAGAGGAATTGAAAGAGCTATACTTGGAGTATCACGTTTCACTCAAATGAGAGAAAGAATTTGGAGTTTCGACCTCTGTCGACAATCAACAATCAGGGTTGCTATCTCATTTGCCAAGGCGTCAAAAATCAGATGGGCTGGTCACGTAATGAGATTTAGAGAGAATCGCTGGACTAGAGCCATTACCGACTGGATTCCACGGGATGTCAAAAGATCACGTGGCCGCCCACCTACCAGATAGTCATACTTTTTCATCAAAACCATGAATGAGTTTGAGGCTCTTCGTGTTCCTAGAATGAACAGACGCCATTGGGCTACACTAGCACGCAACAGGGACAAATGGAGACATTACTAGCACCCGCTTGAGCAAATCGACGATTAATGGGAAGTCAAGTGATCAAGTGATATAAGGATAAGGAAGCAAACCAAGACATGAATGAATCAGAGTGTAGAATAGGGATCAGATGAGTTTTATGGAAGAGTATTACTGGACCAGTCAACCAGTGATCAAAGAAAGAGATGGAGGATGGAAGCCTGCATCAGACCCAAGAACTAGGGCATTTCTTAAACTGTGGGTGTCAACCCCAGATGGGGATCCATAATTGAATGTGGGAGCCATGAAAAGTTTGGCAACAGTAAAAGGTTCTGAACTTTCAGCAATCCAAATTTAATTCAAAATCAAACAAGAAATGAATCTAAGGATTTCCTGCAGTGCATATCATGTTCTCTTTCTTGGGTGAAAAGAAGTCAACCACGGGAGAAGTTGAAGCAGACCTGCTTTAAAGAATGCATACTGTGATTAACCTGGTTTGGGGAAGAAATAATCTCTATTTAGGTCAGCATTTCTGGAGACATGTGTAAATCTGATTACTACTATAGCAGGGAGGGCTGGAGCAATAGCACAGCAGTAGGGTGTTTGCCTTACAAGCGGCCAACATGGCCGACCCGAGTTCGATTCCTCCACCCATCTCGGAGAGCCCGGCAAGCTACCGAGAGTATCTCACCTGCACGGCAGAGCCTGGCAAGCTACCCGTGACGTATTCGATATGCCAAACACAGTAACAAGTCTCACGATGGAGATATTACTGGGCCCGCTCGAGCAAATCAATGAACAATGGGAGGACCATGACCGTGACTATAGCAGGGAAAAAATGATGCTATTCTAGATTTCATAGCATTCAATTCAACTGTTTTGAGTTCCATGATATGTAAGAAATACTTCTGGCAAAAACAACCAAAAAAGAAGGAATCCAGCATTTGGGTAGCTCAAATTCTATATATAGACACAAATATAGATAGTATAACTCATAATGTAATTCACTATTAGGTACAGATATCAATATGTACAAACAATGCAGATAAGAACAGACTTTCCCCCCAAAATAACAGACATATTAAGGTAAATAGATGAAACCCTAAGCTTTGTAAGCCACATACCATGATTTAGTGAGGCCCTTTGTTTCTCAACTTTCCTGTGGTCTATGACAAACATTTCCAGATGTTTAAACCA